GATGCTTTTTTCAATATCTATTTTATTATTGCCCTTTGCCATATCATGAAGTTCTATTTTGTTTTTTGAGCTCATACAGACCTAGGTTAATGTTTTGCTGATCAGTTCTATTTTTTGACTATAGAGTTTTTAAACATTGCAATGGAGATTTCACCTGTAAAAAGTTATAAGGCCTTTACTATAATGTTATGTGTTGTATATATTATATTATGTGTGCACACTTGTGTTTTGTGTTATATGTTTGAATGTACGTATGTCCATATATCATATATGATGAGCGCTCATGATAAAATGGATCCAAATATTTTTTTTTCACGTGATTTATATGGTTTAATTTAAATTGGGTAAACAACTGTTGAGGATTGTTTTAATATGTAAACAAAAAAGAAGGTTAACAGATCTGTTTGTTTACTTTCACCTTTCCTTTTCATTATATTTAATAATTCCCTTAAAGATAATGTAAATTGTTAAGAAAATTGTTTTCTTTTAGTGCCTTCTGTAATGTTACATAATTTTTTCTTTAGCCATTATTGCCAGAATTCCTATCTTCATCCCAGTGCCGGTGAAGACAATGTAAATTGTTAAGAAAATTGTTTTCTTTTAGTGCCTTCTGTAATGTTACATAATTGTTTCTTTAGCCATTATTGCCAGAATTCCTATCTTCATCCCAGTGCTGGTGAAGTCAAAGATAAAACCAATCTACAGCTTCTACAATAGCCATCACTGAACTGCTTGCAGAACTTGCCTGGACACATTGTGAGCTCACCTGTATGCATTGTGAACTATCTGTTGGTGCAGCGACTTGTGGTAGTGTTGGGGTATTTTTGCTGATGATGTCATTGGTGGTACAATTTTTCCAAAAGGAGCCGTCAATTGGCTTGGTGTATCTTCCTCCCTTCTGCTTGTCATGATCGTCCAGCTAAAATTTGGGGGCCAACAGAGGTGAGGCAAAGAACCTCACCCCCCCGCTGGTACAAAGACCTCTCCACAGGTGTGGCTGTATACTGGACCGGTAGTCAGTGACGGGTAAGATCCAATTGCAATGGTACCAACCTAAGGACCATATGTACTATTGGACAACCTAAGGCAGGCACGGTCCCTAAGCCACATGCTTGTTGTTTAAACAGAGAGGGGGAGATGTTGAGAGCCACAGCCAAAGGGGCCCCAGCAAACTTCCAGCTGCCGGCTGATGATTGGCTCACAGCGGCCCCAGCAACATCTAGCTGATTGGCTCCTCTGCGGTGATGCTCATTGGGCTGTTTCCCTGCCCTTTCAGACCACGGAGCTGCTCATTGGGGGACTTTTTTGGCTCCGCCCATGTGACCCAGCCAATCGGCCTCAAGAGCAGGAGGATTGTGGGAGGTGGAGAGAAGCTTGTGTGGGAGAGAGAGGCTTGTGGGAAGCCGGTGGTGGCAGTTGAGGCTCTGAGGGTTTTTCCTGAGAGGCTGTTTTGTTTGGCGTGTGTGGTTCTAAAAATAAAGTTAGTTTCTTTTGACAAGTGGCTCCTGATTGTGCCCAGCCAGACTGAGGCAATAAGGCATACCCAAAGTAACAAAATATAAACTAAATTAAATATTTATATATTAATTAAAATTTTAGAAATAAATTATCTGTTTTAAGTCTTTATGATTTATTATGTACAGTTTTGATATTTAATAAATCTTTTCTACCACTAATTTTAATTTCAGTGAGTTATAATATTGTCAGTAGCAGAACCCTTTTATATCTATGAATTGACCTAATTTTTCCTCGAATATTTCTCTACTTTTCCCCCTTTCTCTCCCTTTGCTATTTGAACTTTTCATATACATTTTAGATTACCCTAGTTAGCATAAACTGTGATTTTGCTATTCTTATCTATTCAACAAAAGTAGAGCTAATTAATATTAATTAAATTCTCATCCTATCTTTCAAGACAGGGGGTCTTTTAAAATAAATTTTTATGGTTGGCCTACTTACTTTCAAATTGTAAAATTTAGTAAAGTTTACTGATGAATCAAAACATGTTTCTTTTTCTTTAACTCTCCTTTCCCCAGCATACATGCCACTTTCATGATAGGGCCTTTTTGCAAGTCAAAGTGCATTCTGTGAATGTAACCCATATCATGGCCCTCTGCTCACCTGGGGCTATGCTTTGTGTTCTATTCTCATTATTTTTAACAAGCTCTCAGAAAAGTTCATTTGTCCATGAGGCCATGGAGATGCCCCAGTGTTTTAGGTATACTGTATAGTTACTTTAGGCTTGTTACTCCTTCTAGTGCAGAAAGAAACTTTAGAGCATTACTATTTCTACTTATCTTAAAAACCTATAGTGAGCCTGTCTTTTTGTCATTAGTTGACTTACTTTCAACATAAGTCAAAGGAAAATACTTTTTAATAAAGCTGAAATTATGTCAGCAGGTTGACTTGTTATATTTGAATTTGTTTAGTAGCTTTCAAAAATAATCAGAATTTTCTTGAAAGTTCATTAATCTGAGGGAAAAATAACAAAATTATTCCTTGCACAAAAAAAATGAATTTTAAGAAGATGTTTGTCACAATATCAGGTGGAGAGATCTTTTTGCTAATAGTTGATTTCAATTTGCTAAGGTCCCATTTTTTTATTTGGCCTTCCAGTTACAATTTCAAAATAAATTATTTTTGTTTAGGCTTTGCTTTCCAACATGCTAACCAGTAACTACTTATGGCTATTAAAATTAAAACAAAATTTAATTAAAATTTAATTCCTTAATAGTGCTACCATATTTCAACTACTCAGTAGCCACATGGTCCTAGTGGCTACCATTTTGGATATCACAGATTACAGAATGTCTATCAATGACCAAAAATCATATAGCTAATAGGGGTATCCATTCTGATACACAATTTATAAATTAAGGTGATAAGCCTCACATTTCTATAAGTAGTCTAATATTATAAAGCATCTCCAAAAACATTTAATGCTGATATATCTACTCTATAATTAGTGCTTATCTTCCCAATTTTGCTTCTATAAGAATTATGTCATCATTCACATATTTCAATTGAAGAAATTAAAAATCAGAAGGATTAAGTAGGAGGTAGCATATTTAGGAAGAGTTTAGCACAAAACTGTGATCTGTATCTTTCTCACTTCCACATATACTTTTCATTTCATGAGATAAGGAGATGGACTGTAGGGTTCTGACCTATAAAAGCTTATTTATGGATATTCTAACCCTTCTCTAATTTTACCTCATATACTCAGACAAATATGTCTTTTACTTGAATAATTCACTCAAGAGATTTGTAGCCTTCAATTTCTGAACTTATTTGTTATGGTTTGGATAGAAATGTCCCCCCAAAACTCATGTGTTGAAGGCTTGTTTGTCAGTATAGCAATGTTCAGAGGTGAGGCTTTCAGGAAATGATTGGATCTTGAAGGTTCTAAACTTGTCAGAGGATTTATCCATTTGATGATTTAATAATTCAACAGACTATTTGGAGGTAATGGAAACTGTAGGAGGTGGGACCTAATTGGAGGAAGTATGTTTCTAGGGACATGCCCTCTAAGGGTATTTTATGAGCAGACTTTTTTTACACTCTTCTGCCATATTGTTCTGTATTGCTTCAGGCCAAAACAATAAAGCCCAAAGATCATGGAATGAAAGATGTGAAATTATAAGACAAAATAAATCCTTCCTCCTCTAAATTGTTTTCTTTGGGAAGGTGGTTTAGCCACAATGACAAAAAGCTGATTAATACAGTACATATAAACAAATATGTATCTTTATAATATACATTGTCATTTGTTGATCAGTTTTCTCATAATATACATACTACAGGCCTAAAACCTTAAGATAATACATGTCAGAATATCATAGTTATGTGTTCTTTGAATACTTTAAAACAGTCATGTCAATCATAGTCTTACATTAAGTAAACAAAGAATATTTATAAATTTTAAAAATCCTCTCATTATATCAGTATGAAAGCTGTACACTTGTTCTTTTATATGTATTTTCCAAGAACAATAAAGTAAATTCTAGTATTTCACATACCCAAATCTGAGGTTTCTACTATTGTCTATTGATAATTTTTAGTAATTTCCCATGTACTTAGTAAATGTGGCCCTTCTGTACCTACATTGAAGGATACCACATATTCTACTATTCTTCCCCTCCCCAGGCTGAAATCTAGTCAAAACTGAATCTTTGGGGCTAAATGGAAAAATTACGTTTTGTATTAATTGAATAATGTGTCTTCAAGGAATTGAAACAAAATGAAAATATTTTAATAGTAAATTTTCTAAAATTTAATTTTACTTTAATGATTCAAAAGATACTTAAAGATCTTATGTCAACTTGAAATCACATCAAAAATGTCTCATTAATCTATACATATTCAGAAATGCTGGTGATAAAAATGTTTTATTCACCCCTCATATAGATTATTTGACATCTTTTCAAATGACAAGATATAGTTCCTATTTAACATAACCAAAAAAAAATTTTTGATAGTTTTGTTGATTCATTCTTAATGCTTTGATTTGCTTATTTTGGTCAAATTTCTGGCAGAGTCATGACTATACAGATTAAAATTAAGATATTGGGCAAGCTTAAGTAGCCGAGCTTAATTCCTTGTCTAACCTCTATAATTATTTAAGGAAATACAAATGTTTGGAAATGATTATAGGTACAATGAAAATTAATAAGTCCCTTGGGCTGGGGTTGTGGCTCAGCAGTACAGCCATTGCCTCACACATGTGAGACCCTGGGTTCGATCCTCAGCACCACATAAAAATAAATAAGTAAAATAAAGGTATTGTATTCAACTACAACTAGAATATATATTTTTTAAAAGAAAGTTAATAAATCCCATGTAATTGCACAAAGTGTATTGATGAATTTTCTCGAGTATGCTTTGCTTAAACTTTGAAAAACTGGGGTGATGGCTTACTCAAAATTTGAAGTATAATAAGATCCTTTCTATCTTTTAAAAATGAAATAACATCTTCAACAAAAAGTGGTTTAAAAACGTACCTTAATTAGTTGGTAATTTTGAACTCCGTTTATTCCTATGTCAGGATCAATGGCCGCTGGGAGAGCATACCGAGAGTTTATAGCCGAATTCTCTGGAATTGAGATGTTGATAACCGTCGCTGGGAATAACGGTGCATTATCATTTATGTCTTCTATCAGAAAACGTATCTTAACCAGTCTAAATATTTCATCCGGCAAAACAGCAACCTCCACTTCGTAAAAGCAATGGGCATCCATCATGATACCAGCACATAATTTCTCACGATCAATGCGAGCGCCAGTAGTGAAGATCTCACCAGTACCCTCTTCAATACGAATCAGTGGCACATCCCCTGTCTTGTACACGAGCTTGAACTGCATTGGAGACGTTAAGGACTTGTCGGGAATTAGCGACAAATTGAGGTCTTTCAACAAGTCGCCTATCAGGACGTTTTCTGGCATTTCTTCTCGGACGGTGTAATTTTTCTCCTGGGCGCCAGACTGAAACACGACGCATGCTAACAGGACCGCAAATATATACGTCCCGGACAACAAGTCCATACCAGGCACGATTGTGATGGTTCTCTGTATCAACCCACAGAAAACTGACAAATAGAAGAGAGAGGAGAGAGAGGAGAGAGAGACAGAGAGAGGAGAGAGAGGAGAGAGAGACAGAGAGAGGAGAGAGAGGAGGGAGAGGGAGAGGGAGAGGGAGAGGGAAGAAGAAGAAGAAAAAAAAAGAAGAAGAAGGAGAAGGAGAAGGAGAAGGAGAAGAAAAGAAGAAGAAGAAGAAGAAGAAGAAGAAGAAGAAGAAGAGGAGGAGGAGGAGGAGGAGGAGGAGGAGGAGGAGGAGGAGGAGGAGGGGGGGCAGGGGGAAGAGGAGAGGAGAAAAAAGAAGAGGGAGAAAAATAAATTATTAGGCAGCCAATCATAAAAATGCATGTTATGTGAAGACTTCTTTGTAAATTAAAAATGATTAAATAAAATATTAGCAAAATTAAAAGTGTTAAATAAATTAACAACAAATTGTTTTAAATCAAATATACATTTTTATATTAACAAGAAAAATAAAGGAAACAAGATATCTATAGTAATTAAGAGACATAAGGTATTTGTAAGTGTCCATTATTGATAAAATACATAAAAGATATTTTAATTTACCAAAATACTTAAAGCTAAAACAAATAATTGAAATATTTAATTCAATAGTTATTGAAAATAAAATATTTGTTACTAATCAAAAAATATTTTTTGTTATAATATGAATTTCAAATTCAATTATTTTATTTTCAATATGTATTTTATGCAATAGTCCATATTTTAAGATTTAGGCTCCAAACAGTAAAACTTTATTTCCATAAAAGTAGTCAATGACAAATGAAGGACTCAGGAAATTTGAATTGAAAAAAAAAGTGTTTGGGAAGAGAAGAGGAGTTAATTTGCCAATGGCTAAACTCGGAGGAAACCATTATATGTCAAGGGTGTTGGAGCTTGCTTTCTTTGGATGAGAAAAACAAAAATAGATATAAGTTACAAACAGGCAACATTTTAACAACATAAACATCTGCTTATTCAAGCATTCTGTGGGAAAAAAAAACATTTTTGAGGTGATAGTAAATCCCTTATCTTTGCAGGTATTAATGACACAGAAGCATAGGTATTTATGTCTAATTTTGCAAGAGTCTAATTTAGGCATTAGGTCTACATACTGAGATTAGATTATAGATTTGGTAGGTGACATCCTACAACTCAAGGAATTTGAATTGAACAACATTCTTATTCTGAGAATTTATGTTTTCATATTATAGAAGATAGTCCATAGGAAAGTGAAATTTCACATCTACAAACTGACAGGAGTTGACCAAATACGAAGAACACCTCAACTAGGGGTTAAAAATCTAAAGGCATTGTTTTGTATATTTGAAAACTGCTAAAAGAATAGCTAGATATTCTCACTACAAAACACATATTGATGAGGTGTCATATATATATTAATTAACTTGATCAAATCTTTCTAAAATGATTACATATATTAAAAATTCATATTGTTCCCCAAAATATACATAATTATTTGTCAAAAAATGAATATTTTTAAAAAACATTAAAAATAAGGCACTTAATATCATTTTGGCCAGGGCAAAGTGAATCAAAACAATATCTTTGGTTGATTTTTTTTAACCCCTTGCTTATTGTTTGCATTCACTGAATTATTCCAGATTGTTTTCGTTCTCATTCTTATGGTCAAATTCAATAAAGAATTCTAATTTTCTTATAATTTGAAAATTATTTTCTTCATTTTCCTTTCTTAATTACCAATTCATATTTTCAGTTTGATTAGCTTCATATAATCTTAATTTGACATATTAGAATTTCTTTATCTCTAGCATCACAAAGTTTTCTAACGTGCTTCCAGATGTTAGTGGTAGGTAAAATGGTAACACAAAATAAAATTTGTATTCCACTGCACTGAACCAAATCAGATTTTATATATATATAAACAAGGGTTAATGCAGCTATCAAAGCATTCCATAGTTTTAAAAGATAGGTGTGGAAAGATGGTCCTTTGAGATTCCATTACAGAAAAGTATCAATGCATACAAACATCTAATTAAGGGAGTTCTCAATTTTTATTGGTAATCAATAATATTAACAAAGTTTTAGTAATGGTTCTAAAAAAGGAGGATTTGTGATTATATATATCACAAAATATATATAGCTAAGGATAATGTGCTATGATTATGCCAGAAAATGTATTATATTAAAATGCCCCACTGCATAGATATACATCTGCATTTTTAAAACAGGCATGCAGAAATGTTGAAAAACAGAAAAGGGAAAAAAAGAAATCCTTCTTTTTGCAATCAGTAACAGAATAAATGGATACGTTGCAACAATTGAGATAGTTTAGGTCATGAATGATACCAAGAGATGAAGTAGATGAATGTTAAACTTCTCATTTTATGAATTTTGTTGGCAAAATTTGATAAATATATATTATAGGTATATTGAAAATTATATACTATAGGTACCTTCTTGTTGATTACTTGGTGTCATTTATAAAACCTTTTCAGTGTAATAGTTAAAAATACACTTCTCAGAGGAGGACATACAATCAATCAACAAGTACATGAAAAAATGCTCACCATCTCTAGCAGTCAGAGAAATGCAAATCAAAACCACCCTAAGATACCATCTCACTCCAGTAAGATTGGCAGCCATTATGAAGTCAAACAACAACAAGTGCTGGAGAGGATGTGGGGAAAAGGGTACTCTTGTACATTGGTGGTGGGACTGCAAACTGGTGCGGCCAATCTGGAAAGCAGTATGGAGATTCCTGGGAAAGCTGGGAATGGAACCACCATTTGACCCAGCTATTGCCCTTCTTGGACTTTTCCCTGAAGACCTTAAAAGAGCGTACTACAGGGATACTGCTACATCGATGTTCATAGCAGCACAATTCACAATTGCTAGACTGTGGAACCAACCCAGATGCCCTTCAATAGATGAATGGATAAAAAAAATGTGGCATTTATACACCATGGAGTATTACGCAGCACTAAAAAATGACAAAATCATAGAATTTGCAGGGAAATCGATGGCACTAGAGCAGATTATGCTTAGTGAAGCTAGCCAATCCCTAAAAAACAAATACCAAATGTCTTCTTTGATATAATGAGAGCAACTAATAACAGAGCAGGGAGGAAGAGCAGGAAGAAAAGATTAACATTAAACAGATACATGAGGTGGGATGGAAAGGGAGAGAAAAGGGAAATTGCATGGTAATGGAGGGAGACCCTCATTGTTATACAAAATTACATATAAGAGGTTGTGAGGGGAATGGTAAAATAAACAAGGAGAGATATGAATTACAGTGGATGGGGTAGAGAGAGAAGATGGGAGGGGAGGGAGGGGGGATGGTAGAGGATAGGAAAGGTAGCAGAATACAACAGTTACTAATAGGGCATTATGTAAAAATGTGGATGTGTAACCGATGTGATTCTGCAAGCTGTATTTGGGGTAAAATTGGGAGTTCATAACCAACTTGAATCTAATGTATGAAATATGATATGTCAAGAGCTTTATAATGTTTTGAACAACCAATAAAAAAAATTAAAAAAAAAATATGATATTTCAGTAGATACAATATATACTGATTAAATCATGGTAATTAAAAAAAATACTAACGCTGAAAACATTCTCTATAATAGTAAACAACGTGAATAGACTGTAGTATATTTTTAGCAACATTTGCTCAATGATGAGCATAGGGACTACATAATATAGAAACCTGTTCTCAAGACTTGGTCTCTTGTGAATTATTAGTTTTCTACTCTGTTATGAATGTGAGATTTTAAATATCTCATTGATGCTATAAGTTCATATGCACACATCCATGCATGTCTTATACACTATGAATCTAGGACCTCTAAAATTTTAATTACTGTGTGATTTTATAAATACCATGCAAACATAAGGAAAAATAAAAATGAGATGGTGACAACTGGAATTGAAACTATCACTATTCTTATTCTACCCTTAGGTATTACAGATTATTACAACTGGTAGTAGAATACTACATACCATTTTTAAAAACATTACATGCATGTTGCAGTATCTACACAAGAAAAAGAATTAAGATCCTGACTTAATTCCTAGAAGTCCCCTTCTACTCTGTTCTACACTACCTTAAATAACATTATCTAATCAAACATTTTAAAATGTGTTTCATCACTTTAAATTATTACAGGGGTATTCAAAATCAATAAAAAATGTTATAGAAAAAGAAATATATTTTTAAAGCTTAAGTGGATACACATTTAACACCTAAAAAGGATATTTACCCTCTATTTTATAATTAGTTTTGGGTGAATTGAATTCATGAGGGTGTATTCACTTATCCAACAAATATTTATAAATCGAATTCTAAAACAAACACTATTATAGGCACTAAGAGATCATCAGTGAACAAAACAGATGAAATTCCTGTTTTTTAGACCTTATATATGATAATGCAAATATTCTAGCATGTCTTTATTTATGTTTACAATCTACTGAATAATTAGTTTAACTCTGCCTCTTCTGGGATGTAAATATACATGTTTAAATAAAGTCACATCTAGATTTCTATTCTAACCCTTATATTTATTACTTGAAAATTTATTTTTATCTTTAATATTAAAAGGAGTTTCCTTGAAAATGCTGAATTTAATTCTTTAATGACCACTACAGAAATTTAGCTACTTGGACTGGGGATGTAGCTCAAGCGGTAATGTGCTCGCCTGGAATGCGTGGGGCACTGGGTTAGAGCCTCAGCACAACATAAAATCAAATAAAGATGTTGTGTCCACCAAAAACTGAAAAATAAATATTAAAAACTCTCTCTCTCTCTTCTCTCTCTCTTGAAAAAAAAGAAAGAAATTTATCTACTACATATGGGTATGAACAGTCATTGCTTAGTTTTATGGAAGCATTATAAATTTAACGCAGACATCCAAGGAAAATATGTCTACACACGTAACTTTTCTTGACTCTAATTTTTCTCTCAAAATGATAAGTTTAGATGTCTTTCCCTTTCCTGCCCTCACAAACCATTCTTACTATAGAC